AATTAAAACAATCCCCTTTTAACTTACAGTTTCAATACTTTTTATTGTCGTGGTAGAGTTTTCATTAAAACAATCCCCTTTTAACTTACAGTTTCAATACTTTTTATTGTCGTGGTAGAGTTTTAATTAAAACAATCCCCTTTTAACTTACAGTTTCAATACTTTTTATTGTCGTGGAATAGTTTCAATTAAAACAATCCCCTTTTAACTTTGTGTTTAATACTTTTTATTGTGGTAGAGTTTCAATTAAAACAATCCCCTTTTAACTTACTGTTTCAATACTTTTTATTGTCGTGGTAGAGTTTCAATTAAAACAATCCCCTTTTAACTTACAGTTTCAATACTTTTTATTGTCGTGGTAGAGTTTTAATTAAAACAATCCCCTTTTAACTTACAGTTTCAATACTTTTTATTGTCGTGGTAGAGTTTTAATTAAAACAATCCCCTTTTAACTTACAGTTTCAATACTTTTTATTGTCGTGGTAGAGTTTCAATTAAACAATCCCCTTTTAACTTACAGTTTCAATACTTTTTATTGTAGTGGTAGAGTTTTCATTAAAACAATCCCCTTTTAACTTTGTGTTTAAATACTCTTTATTGTGGTAGAGTTTCAATTAAAACAATCCCCTTTTAACTTACAGATTCAATACTTTTTATTGTCGTGGTATAGTTTCAATTAAAACAATCCCCTTTTAACTTTGTGTTTAAATACTCTTTATTGTGGTAGAGTTTCAATTAAAACAATCCCCTTTTAACTTACAGTTTCAATACTTTTTATTGTCGTGGTAGAGTTTTCATTAAAACAATCCCCTTTGAACTTACAGTTTCAATACTTTTTATTGTCGTGGTATAGTTTCAATTAAAACAATCCCCTTTTAACTTACAGTTTCAATACTTTTTATTGTCGTGGTAGAGTTTTCATTAAAACAATCCCCTTTTAACTTTGTGTTTAAATACTCTTTATTGTCGTGGTAGAGTTTCAATTAAACAATCCCCTTTTAACTTACAGTTTCAATACTTTTTATTGTCGTGGTAGAGTTTTCATTAAAACAATCCCCTTTTAACTTACAGTTTCAATACTTTTTATTGTCGTGGTAGAGTTTTCATTAAAACAATCCCCTTTTAACTTACAGTTTCAATACTTTTTATTGTCGTGGTATAGTTTCAATTAAAACAATCCCCTTTTAACTTACAGTTTCAATACTTTTTATTGTCGTGGTAGAGTTTTCATTAAAACAATCCCCTTTTAACTTACAGTTTCAATACTTTTTATTGTCGTGGTAGAGTTTCAATTGAAACAATCCCCTTTTAACTTACAGTTTCAATACTTTTTATTGTCGTGGTATAGTTTCAATTAAAACAATTCCCTTTTAACTTACAGTTTCAATACTTTTTATTGTCGTGGTAGAGTTTTAATTAAAACAATCCCCTTTTAACTTACAGTTTCAATACTTTTTATTGTCGTGGTAGAGTTTCAATTAAAACAATCCCCTTTTAACTTTGTGTTTAAATACTCTTTATTGTGGTAGAGTTTCAATTAAAACAATCCCCTTTTAACTTACTGTTTCAATACTTTTTATTGTCGTGGTAGAGTTTCAATTAAAACAATCCCCTTTTAACTTACAGTTTCAATACTTTTTATTGTCATGGTAGAGTTTTGATTAAAAAAATTCCCCTTTTAATTTTGTGTTTAAATACTCTTTATTGTCGTGGTATAATTTTAATTAAAACAATCCCCTTTAAATTTTATGTTTAAATAGTGTTTATTTTCGTGGTACCCGGGCTACTCAGCTACCCAGGACCATTCAGGACATCAACCTAGAGGGCAAGTGGACCCAGACAACTGCTGGAGAAGAATTCCTACGAGTTGATGATGGTGACCAATCCAGGATTTCAGCCTTTCCTACATCAGACAACTTGATTGATCTCTGCAATGCTGACACTCTCTTCTGTGATGGAACATTTTACACGTGTCCAACTCAGTTTCAGCAGATCTATACCATCCATGCTATGATCGGAGACCAAATGTACCCTCTTGTATACAGTCTGCTTCCCAGCAAGAACCAAGCAACATATCAGCGATTCTTTACACTACTCAGGACCAAGATGATGGAACTCCAACTCAATCCAACCACAGTTTTCCTAGACTTTGAGACTGCTGCCCAGAACGCCATCCGCGCAGTATTTCCAGCTGTGAATTTGAAGTTCTGTTTCTTCCATTAAACTCGGTGTATTTGGAGGAAAGTCCAGCAGACAGGTCTTCAACAACTCTACGCAAACAACGATGATGTACGACAGCTTGTGCGACGAGCTGCTGTTCTCCCCCTTGTTCCCTTAGATCGTGTAGAAGATGTCGGGTTCAATGCGCTTGAGGACCTTGAAGATGCAGATGTACAACAGGACACCACCACATTCACCGATTACGTCGTCGCACAGTGGATTGACCGAGATCGACATCTATGGAACCACTTCGAGACCCAGTGACCCAGGACAACAAATCACATAGAGGGATGGCATAGTCGATTGAAGAAGAAAGTGGAACACGCCCACCCAAACATCTACAACATCATCCGCGTGCATTCAACACACGGCAGAAGGACCACTAAGACCATGAGCCAAACGCTACCGAAACATTGACAGTCGCCTTAGACAACTAAAGGAACACTTGGAGAATGGTACAGTTGATGTTATCCACTACACCGATGTAGCACCCCATCTTTTGCACTTAGAATGACGATTATGATATGTGAGATTATGGATTTTGATACTTTTCTCAGATTTCTTAAAATTATGGATTTTCATTATTTTTGCTCTCTGTGGACTAAGCCTTTTTATGTTCATCGTAGTGCTGTTATATTAGTATATTATGTATAATGTTGCATATGTAATTAACTCTGTCATGCATTGCTACCATAGTTCAGTTCTATAGTCTATATATATTACATCCATGTAATTGTATAATAAAAAAGAAGTAAATTTGTTAAATATCGAGTTAGTAAAAATACAAATTTTAATTCTGTTTTTTTTATAAGATGATAATGGAAATCTTGAATATAATTTTACTCATAATTCCACTTGGTTTTTTTTAATTAGGAAAATACACTTGTTAAATATTACTTTATTAAACAGTATTGCCTATTGGTCAACAGGTAAATACAGATAAATTATTTACCTGTACTACACAGATCATAATGAGACCTCTATTGTTTTCAAATGTTTATATAATTCCTTTTTGAAAAAGTGGGAGAAAGGAGAACAAACCGTATTACTACAGCTTTATCATATTGTTCTAAATATTGTTTAAAATTTCATATCTATAGCTCTGTTGTGTCAGTTTAGAATTGTACCTGTAGTATTGTTTGTATAAGGTACCACTTTCAACAACATGTGCAGCCCAAATGTAATGCACTCAGCGTTTGTTCCAGTAATGTAGAAATACCCCAAGCATCATCTCCCTCTAAACCTTGCACCCTTTCGCTCCCTTTCCCCCTCACAAGTCACATGGTGTATAGTCAGTACGTGTTACACAGCTATAGATATAAGGAGACAGATTAATACTTGTTTCTGAATCCTTTCATTGATTGTATCCTATATCTTATTGCAATATACATCAATAAAATAAAGTTAAAACTAAATCCAAATACAAATATCACACAAAACGGTATTAAACAATTACATAGAACTCCATTCAGGCATACAGAAAGACGTAAAACGGTTATATTGATGTTGGTCGACTAAACTAACGACGTTAAACTCTCAAATGTGAGAGCTAGGTTCCTAACAACGAAACCAGTCGGAATACAAAAGAGTAAAAACGAATCCTTATCACACAAAGATATAACACAGAGAGGTTATAAAGGTTATAGAGGTTACAGAGGTTATAAAGGTTATAAAGGTTATAGAGGTTATAAATGTTAAAATGATTATAAAGGTTATAGAGGTCATAGAGGTTATAGAGGCTATAAAGTTTGTAAAGGTTATAGAGGTTATAAAGGTTATAGAGGTTATAGAAGTTACAAATGTTATAAAGGTTTAAGAGGTTATAGAGGTTATAAAGATTATATAGGCTATAGAAGTTATAACGGTTATAAAGGTTATAGAGGTTATAGAAGTTATAAAGGTTATAGAGGTTATAGAAGTTATAAATGTTATAAAGGTTTGAGAGGTTATAGAAGTTATAAAGGTTATATAGGTTATAGAAGTTATAACGGTTATAAAGGTTATAGAGGTTATAGAAGTTATAAAGGTTTGAGAGGTTATAGAGGTTATAAAGGTTATATAGGTTATAGAAGTTATAACGGTTATAGAGGTTACAGAGGTTATAAAGGTTATATAGGTTATAAAGTTTGTAAAGGTTATAGAGGTTATAAATGTTATAGAGGTTATAGAAGTTATAAATGTTATAAAGGTTTAATAGGTTATTGAGGTTATAAAGGTTATACTGGTTATGTTTTCTTATCAGAAGTAATTATGTTTATATATATCTAGAGTGTAATGTATCATATTGCGATGTGTATTTAATTTTATTCTTAAGCTACACCTACGTATCGTTAATTGATTATATTAAATCCTAAAGTTACGTTCCAAAAAATACAGATTATATAGCTTACCTGTTATCAAATAGCTACATCAGATAGTCTAATTACAACATATTTGCTTTATCGTTATGTGCATATCATTATATCATCGTTATTTTTGTCTTGTAAAGGTTTTTAACGAAACGTGGAAGGAGGAGCACCTAATCCTTGCTGCCTCCAGATTATATGAGTGAATTGCATATTTCAACTCAAATTAAGAGTGAGAGCAAAACACTATATTAAACTGCATCATACAGCTGTATAGACCTGCAGTCTGACACCTAGGAGGCGATTAGGGAAAATCAATATTGATCGAAAGAAACGTCAAATGTTGATGGGAAGCTGGCGGTTATCTCAAATAACATCGGCATATTTGATTGGAGTGACAATATTCAGTATGATATTGACAGTCTTTGTCAATTTAAAACTTACTCATATCTTGTTTTGAATGTCGCCATCTTGTTTCACCGAAACTGACAATAATGAGTACACGAAAGGTTGTGTTCTTTAATCTGATACCGAACTGATCTCAGAAAGTTTTGAATGGCAATAGACATCGCAATACCTTTATGTTTCATACAGAAATCAATGTAGGTTTGTGTCTCATACAGAAATCAATGTAGGTTTGTGTCTCATACAGAAATCAATGTAGGTTTGTGTCTCATACAGAAAGCAATGTAGGTTTGTGTCTCATACAGAAATCAATGTAGGTATGATATATTTTTTCTATTATGTGAGCATGTAATAGAATAATTATATACATTTTTAGTACGTGAGCACCTAACAAGAAAAAACATACCTCCACATTTGTACTATACTTGTTAAAGTGACCCCAAAGGAAAGAATATACACAATATAGTTATTACGTGGCCACGTAATCGGGGAATTTATACCAACTGTCCCCTATGTACCTCCGTAGACACAAGTACTCAAATATTTCAATGGAGGCAACAGATTGCCTTATATCGGCAGTATACTCCTCCGTAAAGGAAAGAATAATAACACAGTTCTCTAGATATCACACAACATGGCTTTTCAAACATTCTTTTAACCGTCCTTGCGCGTGTTTCACATCAATGACCAAGAAAAAAGTTCAGAAAAACACATTTTTCATATGTTCAGGAATGTTCGATAAACACAGTAAGAATTCTAACAACATCTGTCATAAATAATATCTACATAACGTTAACAAGGCCTCGGGCGGGGATGGTATCAGTCACCATATACGTAACCTTGACAAGGCCTCGGGCGGGGATGGTATAAGTCACCAAATACATAACCTTGACAAGGCCTCGGGCGGGGAGGGTATCAGTTACCATGTACTTAACCTTGAAAAGGCCTCGGGTGGGGACGGTATTAGTCACCATGTCGTAAACCTTGACAAGGCTTCGGGCGTGGATGGTATCAGACGCCATATGCTTAACCTTGACGAGGCCTCGGGCGGAGATGGTATCAGTCGCTATATGCTTAACCTTGACGAGGTCTCGGGCGGAAATGGTATGTCACCATCTTCTTAACGTTAACAAGGCCTCGGTTAGGGATGGTATCAGCCACCATGTACTTAACATTGATCAGGCCTCGGGCGGGATTGGTATCAGTCACCATCTTCTTAACGTTGACAAGGCCTCAGGAGGGTATGGTATCATTCACCATATACTTAACATTGATAAGGCCTCGTGAGGGGATGGTATCAGTCACCATGTACTGAACCTTGACAAGGCCTCGGGCGGGGATTGTTTCAGTCACCATGTACTAAAACTTGACAAGGAATCGGGCGGGGATGGTATCAGTCACCGTATACTAAACCTTGACAAGGTCTCGCGCCAGGATTGTATCGGCCAACATGTACTTAACATTGAGAAGGCCTCGGGCGGGTATTGTTTCAGTCACCATGACCTAAACCTTGACAAGGCCTAGGGCGGGGATGGTATCAGTTACCATATGCTTAACATTGACATAGCCTCGGGCGAGGATGGTATCAGTCACCATGTACTTAACCTTTTCAAGGCATCGCTCCGGGATTGTATCAGTCACCATGAACTAAACCTTGACAACGCCTCGGACGGGGATGGTATCAGACACCAGATACTAAACCTTGAAAAGGCTTAGGGCGGGGATGATATCAGTCACCATATGCTTAACATTGACATGGCCTCGGGCGGGGATGGTATCAGTCACCATGTACTTAACCTTGTCAAGGCATCGCTCCGGGATTGTATCAGTCACCATGAACTAAACCCTGACAATGCCTCGGACGGGGATGTTATCAGACACCAGATACTAAACCTTGAAAATGCCTCGGGCGGGGATGGTATCAGTCAACATATCCTTTACAATGACATGGCCTCGGGCGGGGATGGTATCAGTGACCATGTACTTAACCTTGTCAAGGCATCGCTCCGGGATTGTATCAGTCACCATGAACTAAACCCTGACAATGCCTTGGACGGGGATGTTATCAGACACCAGATACTAAACCTTGAAAATGCCTCGGGCGGGGATGGTATCAGTCAACATATCCTTTACAATGACATGGCCTCGGGCGGGGATGGTATCAGTGACCATGTACTTAACCTTGTCAAGGCATCGCTCCGGGATTGTATCAGTCTCCATGTACTAAACCTTGACAAGGCCTCGGGCGAGGAT